GAGCTGCAGCTTGCGAAGATTGAGTTCCGGGAGTCCGGCGGGCGATTGGCGGAGGACGTTGAGGCGGAGCTGGAGGAGCAGCGACGGCAGCAGTGCGTTGCGTCGGTGGTGTTCGTGGTATTGGTGGTGTTGATGTTGGTGGTCGTCGTCGTGGTCGTCGTGTTGATGTTCGTGGTATTGGTGGTGTTGATGTTGGTGGTCTTGGTGGTATTGGTGGTGTTGATGTTGGTGGTCTTGGTGGTCGTGGTGGTGTTGATGTTGGTGGTCGTGGTGGTGTTGATGTTGGTGGTCGTGGTGGTGGTCGTGGTGGTGTTGATGTTGGTGGTCGTCGTGGTGGTATTGGTGGTGTTGATGTTGGTGGTCGTGGTGGTATTGGTGGTGTTGATGTTGGTGGTCGTGGTGGTGGTGGTCGTGTTGATGTTGGTGGTCGTGACCTCTTAAACTCGTGCGTTTCCCAGTATCAATCTCTTGAGGTTACGCGGGCAGCTGCTTCTAGCAGGAACGCCAGGTTACTAATTTTTAGTCTTTTCACGTCGTATCCTACAAATTTAAGGTCACGCGCTATAGCGTAAGTAACATGACAAGCTGGTGGTGGTGTTGATGTTGGTGGTCGTGGTGGTCGTCGTCGTGTTGATGTTGGTGGTCGTGGTGGTGGTGGTCGTGTTGATGTTAGTGGTCGTGGTGGTGTTGATGTTGGTGTTGTGACAGAAGCGTTGATGTTTGCACAAACCTCTTCACTTTTCATCCCGTTGCCACTGCGTTCATGCTGCTCGCTCCGCCCCAAACAACACGCATAACACTACACCGCCATTGCCTACACGCTGTGCAGACACCTCACTGCGCTGACGGACCGGGTTGCTGTCCTTGATGGCGAACTGACGCGTGAACGAACGAAACGCGAACACCTTGAACGCGTTTTGCAGCAGTCCTCCGAGTACATTACAGAGCTTACGGCCAGGCTCCATAGGTTCGAAGACGCACATCGGGAGGCGCTGACTCGCGTGTACTGGTTGGAGCGAAAGCCCGTTCGTGGTCGCACACGCACACACCGAGCACGCACCCCCTAACGAAGATGTTCTTGTGCGCATGAGAGTGAGTGGGACAAGGGCAGAGACACACAGGGTGCGTGCGTGTGTGCGTTGGGGCCGGGGATGTACGGGTTGCCGGTGGCCATGCCACGAGCATGTTTCTATGTTTCTATTCCAAAGCTGTAGATTCAGACGGCAGAAGCACAATTGATCTTTGGGGAAACTGCCATGAATGTGCGCGATAGCGGTATATATTGTGTTGGTTACACTGGTGCGATGATGCTTGGGGCTGCTTCACATCGACACGCTGTGCGTGTCCACATGTATTCATGGTGGCAGCAGCGCAGTGCTGTTACATTACAACTCTGACTCATGCTCTGTGAGCTCACGCAAAACCCCGCCGCAAACGAACAGTGCGAAGCAAGCCCATATTCACAAACACAGAAAGGTCAGCAACAAAGAAGGAAGGGAGGGCGAGGGTTTGCAGAGAATGGCAGGCAAAACACGGTGCACACACACACACACACACACACACACACACACACACACACACACACACACACACACACAGCTGTGCTATGGATCTGCGGTCCGTGGTGCTTTGGGCTGCGATGACCTCGACGCCTGTGTACCCTGCTGCCCCTGCTGCTTGCGCTGTTGGTGCTGCTGCTGCTGCTGTTGTTGTTGTTGTCCCCGCCTCTGGCCTTTCCTCTTTCCGCCTTTTGATCCTCCTTTACCGTGTGCACCACCACCAGACTCAGCTCCTTCCTTCTGCTGCTGTTGCTGCTGTTGTTGTTGACCTTGCTGCGTGTCGGCGCCACGCTTGCCTCCACCCTTCTTCTGTTGCTGTTTCTTCCTCTGTTGCTGTTGTTGCGGCTGCTTTTGCGCCTTTGGTTGCTGCTGCTGCCTGTGTTGCTGCTGCTGCTGGTGCTCCTCTGGTGATATCGCCCTTCCATCAAACGTGATTCGGATTGCAGGCACTTTCCGTAGGACCTCAATTCTGCAATGTTGGCATTGTTTGCTGTGTGGGCATGTTGGGAGGGGGAACCGTCGTTCCCACGCTCATGCACGCAAATACCCACACTCACTCACTACATAAAGACACACTCACTCAATCACACACACACACACACACACACACACACACACACACACACACACACACACACACACACTCTCTCTCTCTCTCTCTCTCTCTCTCTCTCTCTCTCTCTGTCTCTCTCTCTCTCTCTCTCTCTCTCTCTCTCTCACCCACTACACAAAGACACACACTCACACTCACACAGACACACACTCACACAGACACACACTCACACACAGAATCACACCCTCTCTCTCTTACTCACACACACACACACAGACACACTCACTTGTCCAGCGGCTCTGGCTCGTCTGGCTTGGGGGCCCAGGTCTCTTTGACCCTAATACACGATGAAGAGCGTGTGCGAGAGAGTGACAGTGAGAGAGACACTGATAAATGAAGAACGTGGCAAGGTGAAGAACAACTTACACATACATGTACGATCACACGTACACATGCACGTATGTCAAAGCATGCACACATGCGCATGCGCACTGACATTCAGACCTCGAGTGGAAGATGTCGGTTTGCTGCGCAAGATCAAATGGCTGCTGCGTCATGGCGCGCTTGAGAATCTCCGCAATGGAGACCGCCTTGGTGGTGGCATGGCCCGTGCCCAAGACCACCACCTTGCCGTCCTGCATCAACTTCTGCTCCAGCAATGCAACGGCAGGCTGGATGGAGCTGCCGCTCTTTGTAATGAAGGTGAACACGTCCTTGTCCACCACATCGTCGGACTCCTCCGTTTGCACCTTCATGATGGTTGCATCGTTTACGCATGAGAGGAGAACCAGCAGACGTGAGAGGGAGAGAGCAAGGCAGCCAGTGTGAACAAGGAACCTCGCCGGCAAGCGGGGAAGCAACAGCAGCACTGATGAGCAGCAAACACGAGCACACCAACAAGCACGAGCACAAGCACACGAGCACACCAACCTTCTCGTAACGATCCATGGCAAGTCTTGGCGATTGGTGGATATTTTCAGCGATATTTCTGTACACCAGCAACGGCGATGATGGCGCGACAACAAAGACGCGGAGCACCGACAACGGCAGTGCTGCATGTGCCGCTGCGGCTGCACGATCTCTCCTCACACGCCCGTTCTGAGTGTGTCAAGGGGTTCATCAAGACCCTCCTCTTTCAACGACGCCAGGTGTGTGTGTGTGTGTGTGTCTGTGTCTGTGTCTGTGTGTGTGTGTGTGTGTGTGTGTGGACGCGCCCGAGACTGCTAGACCTGTCTGGCATGATAGATCTGGTTCTTGAAGGCTAGCCGGTTCGGCACATTTATTGGGTCGTCGCGTGGGCACTCAAACAGTTGACGATAATCGGGAACCCCGAGATTGCCTGCTTCCATGCATCCAGTTGAGCAGGCGGGTTGTCTGTGGGTGGGGAAGCATTTGATTGGTTCTCGATAGTAAACGTTTGCAAGTTCCTTATCTGCCGATCGGGACGCCGCGCCCCTCATCACACTACACAGGATGATTGCTCTCTATATGATCTTGTACGTGTAAGCCTACCCGGGAATAACTGTGAAAGTTGAGGGATCGTTGCCTATCAGCCCTCCACAGATCCGACAGTCCTACCTCAGACTTGTCCAACTCATCGCGAAAACATAAAGGCTTCATAAAGATTCCTCCCTGTAATTGCGGGTGAATGCTATGGTTTCCGCTCTAGCATGTTGGGCGACGAGTGGCCAAGCCGGCAGGATAAAATGAATGGCTCACCTTGTGTCTGTTGTGTCGTGGCCGGCAGTCCGTATCGAGAATAGGTTGTGCTGTCACGACCAGCGGTCTGTCAAGTTCATTCCCGTGCGTGTGTGTGTGTGTGTGTGTGTGTGTGGGTGTGGTGTGTGTGTGTGTGTCTGTGTGTGTCTGTATGTCTGTGTCTGTGTCTGTGTGTCTGTGTCTGTGTAAGTGTGTGTGAGAGTGTGTATGCATCCCTATATGAGTGTGTATGCATCCCTATATGAGTGTGTATGCATCCCTATATGAGTGTGTATGCATCCCTATATGAGTGCGTGTGTACATCCTGTGTGATCCCTGTATGGGCAGGTGTGTGCGTGATGTGACCGGTTTGCACCCGGTGAAACAGTGGATGCTGCGATGGTTGGATGTGCTGCACCCTGCACTTGGTGCATTGCATTGCATGTCGGCGAGAGCTCACGGCGCGTCCATGACACGTGCACGCATGTGATTGCAGATCCCTTGCGTCTATGAGCAGCTCAAACAACAAGCAGACGAACTCAGCGCGGAGGAGACTGGACCCTTGCGACTGCGTGCCAAGACAAAGCAGTTTGTCGCTTATGTGCAGGCACTCGAGTCGCTGTTCGACACACTCGACAGGGCCGTCGAGTCAGCGGATGCCGCCGTCATCCTTCTTGGCTCCACCCGCGTCACCCCATCGGAGGCATATTGGATCGACCTTCCCCACCAGGACGACCCAGCGCAGACAAGCACCTGCAAACAAGGGGCACAGCCACAGAAGCGCGAAGACCCCGCAAGGCTGTCACACACTGCGCCAACCCAAGCAATGCAACAACAAGTGGAAGCAGCTCCACACACCTTGCACGCTGCACGCAGTTCACATGCGTGTGGCGCAAAGCAACCGGCGCAGCCATCTTCGCAGCAGCAGCAAGGTCCGCATATGCGCCGCTTCGTGCTTGCGCCTCCGCCACCGCCGCCGTCATCGTCAGGTCGCTCAGCACCATCAGCACCTTCAGCGCAAGCACGGAGGCGAGGTGCCATGGGCGCGGCAGTGCGGCGGTTTCTCTTGGCCCTGTATGCAGCGCCACCAGAGGCCTTCCACATGGGCAGCAGCGCTGTCAAGCGCACGGGCCTACACGTGCTGCTGCGGACACGGGCGCAGCCCCGCAAGGGCAGCAGCGGTGGTGCCGGCACTAGGGATGTCGATTGCGACAGCGAGCGAGGTTGCGTGCCTGCTGGGATGACCGCGTGTTCGGCACGACTGGATGTACAGCGGCTGTTTGAGCGGTGTCGGCGCCGCACCATCCTGCGCTGGGACGATGATGACGGCGGTGGAGATGGCGACGAAAGCGAAGGCCGCGATGGTGGGCAAAATGAAGGTGATGACGAGAATGAACGCCGTGATGGTAATGATGGTGAAGGTGGCCATACCCGTGCTGATGGCAACGACAGTGCTCGCAGCCGCAACGATGGTGGTCACGGTGCAGGTGCGATGGTGTGGCTGGCGTGTGCGCACGCGCCGAAACCGGTGCACCCACCAGCAGTGAGGGAGCAGCGCACAGCAGCTACAGGCAGCGGCACGTCGACAGACTGGATGATGTGACGTGACCAGGCTCCTTGACGCGAGCCAAGTCCGCGTTTGTGTGGCATGCGTTGCTGCTGGTGTTGTCAACATGGTGCATGTCGGTTTACGCATCACGCTGACACAGCATTCGTAGTCTTTGGCATGCTTGCAAGCAAGCAATTTGACTCGAACACCCCCCCCCCGTCACACACACACACACACACACACACACACACACACACACACTCTCTCTCTCTCTCTCTCTCTCTCTCTCTCTCTCTCTCTCTCTCTCTCTCTCTCTCTCTCTCTCTCTCTCTCTCTCTCTCTCTCTCTCTCTCGTTTGCCCTCAACTCTCCTCTGTGTCATCGAGGATTATGCACGTGAGAGGCGCCCGTCTTGCCATGCGAATGCAACGTGTGAGCACAGGCCCATTATCCACTATGTAATTCGTCTCACGGCACAATTGAGATACCATTAAATGCTACGCACGAACAATCAAAAGGTCAAGAAGGCAACGACAACAACAACCAAGCAAGGCAACAACAACGTTGTGAAACACGCGCATTGTGGGCTCACCCTTCCACCGCCACACATGCGCACCTCAGAGCACAAACTCACTACGTATCAAGCGTATGTGCGCACGAACAAATGCACACAAAACAACAACCAAGCGACCCCCCATGCGTGGTGAACAATGCCCACGGTCGCCCACCCAATGACCCACCCATCCAACCAACCAACTGTAATCCATCCAATCAACCACCCAACCAACTATCCATCCATCCATCCATCCATCCACCGGCCCGCTATGACGTGAGCGAGGCCTCTGTCGCCAGCTGCAGCCCGTCCTTCGACCGCACCAGCGTCTGCACCCACGCGGCCTCGAGCGGCGTCAGCGTCGTGTCCGCGTGGAACGCCCGCAACAGCAGCCGCAGGTTTGATCGGAGGGTTGTCGCCGTCGCCACCAGCTGCTGCCGCCGCTGCTCCGTATCGCGCAGAACGCGCCGGCACAGCTGGTCCCGCTCCCGCGCCCGCTCCCGGCTCTTGCGCACCTGATTGCATGGAGCAATCGGGGGGGGGGGGGGTGATGATGATGTGAGGTGAGGTGAGGTGGGGTGGGGTGGGGTGGGGTGAAGGGAAGCAAAGTGTACTTGCTGGGGTGGCCAGGAGACACAAGATGAGACATAACCACCTTCATATCCAATGACTGAAACAACTTCGGCAACGCAAACGAAACAACACCACCAACAATCACCAACAACAACAACAACAACACACCACCAACAATCATCAACAACAACAACAACAACAACAACAACAACAACAACACACCACCACCACCACCACACTTACGGAAGCGTTGTTCTTCTCCCTGTATGACTTCCACCTCTCCAGGGCGGCCTCAAACGCTGCGTCGCTCTCAAACTCGCTTCGCTGCGGCTGCACAAACCGCGGAATGTTGCGCCGCCGCCGCCGACTCACGCCTCCGCCCGATGCCCCTGCTGTCATCGCCGTGGTCGTGGCCGTCAATTCGCTCTTTCGCGGCTGATGGTGCTGGTGCTGGTGCAAGTGGGGTGCTGCGAGTATCTGCTGACGGTGATGGTTGGTTGGGTGTGAGCTGGCGACGGTTGCGGCAACATGGCCATCAAAGCCGCCGCCACCATCCTCATCATCACCATCAACACCACCAGCAGCGTCGGGCACGCCAATGCCCGCGCCCTCCACCGCTGGCTGCACTGTGGCTGCGGCGGTGTGCAGGCGGGACGACGACACGGACGACGCTGACGATGACGACGTGGATGACGATGATGGCGGCTGCCGTCGCAGCCGCTGTCGCTGCTGCTGCTGCTGTGGTCGGCGGCGTGCAGGCTGGAGCGATGGCGGGAGAGAGGCGCCAGATCCCGGAGGAACAACAGCGGCACCGTTGGTTATCATGGCCTGGGCAAGGTTGCCGTGTGTGGCCATGCCTGGAATGAGGGGCGCCCCGGGCTGGTGGTGCAGCAGCAGCGTGCCGCTCGGTGTGACAACAGACATGGTCGGGATGACGGAGATGCCCTGGAGTGGGTTGGACGCCAGCGTGAGCAGCGGCGGGTGCGGCGTGGACACAAGGCCCGTGACAGACTGCGCCGTAGGCAGGGTGGGGAAGAGGTTTGGCGAGAACGCAACGTGCGCGCCTGATGGCACAGACGCGGTTGTCTGGCCTGACGACGACGTGGACACATACGCGGGCGGGGTCCCGTCAAAGCTGTGGGCGTCTTGACTGTGTGAATCGCGCGCATCTGTCGACGGCGAGAACGGGAAGAACGGCATCGACTCAGTGCCCTGGTGCTGCTCGGGATGGCTTTGATCATGATTGTCATGCGCGGGGTGGTCGTCATGATGATGGTGACGATGATGGTAATGATGGTAGTGATGTTCTTCGTGGTCATCACGATCATCACGATCATCGTGGTCGTTGTGGTCGTGCCCGTGGTGCTCGTCGGCATATTCTTGGTGGTCGTGGTCGTCATCGTGGCCGGGGTACTCTCGCTCGTACTGGTGATCATACTGGTGTTGCAGCGAAGCTTGCGCGAGAGGTACGACACCGCCGAGTGAGTCTGCCATGGTCAGGAACGGGCGCAGCTCTGGCGGAATGCTGTCGAAGCTTGTCTCCATCATGGCCGCCCACGGAAGCTGGGAGTCGCTCGCGTGCTGTTGCTCGTGGTTGTGCTGAGCAGGATCATAGTGCCCACCGCCAGAATAGCTGGGGAACGCATGCGTGTGTGGGGCATCCTCTTCGCCGTAACCGTCCTGCTCGTCATCGTCATCCATCATGGCGGTGTTGTCGTTGTCGTCGTTGTCGTCGTTGTTGTGGTCGTCGTTGTCGTTGGCGTGGTGATGCAGGCGGTAAGCAGTGGCTTGGGCATCATCAGCGCCATGGGTGGGATATGCTGCTGTGTCCGCTCTTGCTTGTGGGTCCCCCCTTACTTGTGTGTGCGTGATGTCCTCGCGCCTCGTCGAAGAAAGGTGCTGGTCAGCTTGGGTATCTGCGGTAGCGCCACTCCGTGCCGGTGACGCAGTCATTGCCGCAACCTCCTGCGCGAGGTGTTGAATATTCGAGTCTGAGGATTGCTGTCGCTGGTGGTGGTGATGATGGTGCTGGTGGTGGTGGTGATGGTGGTGCGTTGATGGGTCAGCGGTGGTGGTGCCAGGGCCCGTGTCATCTCCGCCTGTCGGTGAGCATGGTTGTTCGTGCGGAGGAGATGTGCTTGGACTTGACGCATTCACGAGCGTTGCCATCGAACCCGAGGTTGACGCGGGGAAAAAAAGGTGGCAATGTGCTGCTGTGCTGTGCTGTGCTTGGTGGTTTTGTAGCCTTGCCGCGCGTGCGCGCGCGTGCCCTTGCGTATGTGTATGTAGTGGGTGGTTGGCTGGTGGCTTTATGCAGTGGTGCTTGCGGCTGGTCCGTGTCGCGGTTAGAAACGGGGTCAAGCAAGCAAGGGAGCGTATGCCTTTTGTATGTTGTATGTGTGGTTGGCGTGGTCCACACACGCAGCCCCGAGAACACGAAGCAACACAAGAGAAGCAGGGGTTTGATGTCGAAAAGTGGTTATGATATCAACGAGAATCGGCAATGCTGGCGCTTTCATGACGACGCTGATGACGAGCAGCACTTGCCCAGCAGCGTTGGCTCGCTAGCACCTGAGGGTGTGTGTGTGTGTGTGTGTGTGTGTGTGTGTGTGTGTGTGTGTGTGTGTGTGTGTGTGTGTGTGTGTGTGTGTGTGTGTGTGTGTGTGTGTGTGTTGAGCAGGTGGTAAGTGTTGACTGCAGCATGTAGCGCAAACCACATCACGCAAGCCGCGTCACACAAGCCACATCACACGCGCCATGAGCGCAGGCATGTGTGTGCACGGTGGTGCCCCGTGGATTGACATCGCCAGACCTGGGAAAGACAGTCAGCGACAGGAGGTGGACATCGGATGGAAGCGCCGCCTTCGCCTGGGCACGTCGCAGTGCCATATTCTTCTCCACCTGCGAAAGGGCAAGAGCAAAACAAAGCAAACATCGAGGGCATGAGCAGCGTTGCTGGTGAGAACACACGCACGGAGGAGAAGGGGGGAGGGTCGAAGAGCGGCTGTCCCACACCAGCATGTAATGCACCTTGAGGAAGGCTTGCAAATGGCCTTGATAAGGACCTCCAGGCGTTGACTCAATCATGTACCTGTGTGTGTGTGTGTGGGTGGGTGTGCGTGTGGGTGGGTGCATGTGTGTGTGTGTGTGTACATGTCTCTCAGTCTCTCTGTCTCTGTGTCTGTCTCTGTGTCAGTCTCTGTGTCTGTCTCTGTGGCTGTCTCTCTGTCTCTCTGTTTGTCAGTCAGTCTCTCAGTCTCTCTGTCAGTCTCTCTGTCTGTCTCTGTGTGTGTGACTGCGAGATTGACGTGCATGTCGTGTCCCAACACAGTGTTGTGTCGCAGTCAGGCATGACACAACGCGATACCTTCCAAACTCTGGTAGCCAGGCTACCGTGCCGGCATCCGTCTCGGGCCAGTGCTTCGCCGTCTCCTTCAGCTTCTGCAAAAACTCTTTGCCGCTGCTCAGGTGCAGGTGTGCACATGTGTGAGCAAAGGTGTGCATGTGTGTGTGTGT